GGCTTTACCGTAGGAGCTAACTTTAGAGGTGGGTCTTCGAGAGGGTGGGGTTTAGACAAATAGAGTTAGTGGAAGGGCATTCCAGAGGCTTCGAAGGCATGCAGGGAGGGGAGCATGAGACCTGTGCAGGGAACTGCAAATAGTCCAGTTTGCCTGGAAATATAGAGGAAATATAGGAGCCTTGGGAAATTTGGTTGGGACTGGTGATGAGGGAAGGTAGTGACTTGAGTAACAGGCCAAGGGCTTATCCTTTTATTATGGAAGGGTGACGTGGAAGGTTCATAAGGGGAGTGTTGCTCTTGTCTTTTATCTTAACTAGTACTTATTGGACACCTGGGTATCCTGCATGGTTAATGTTTGTAAAAGTGTTGTTTGTAAAGTACTGTATTTTTAAAAATTTAAACAACGTATTACTCAATGAAATTAATGTCATCTCATTTTCAGTCAATGGTCAGACTTCCCAGCTTGTCTCAAAAATGGCCTTTTATAGTTGGTTTGTTTAAGTCGGGATCCAAAAAAGATACAACGTTGCATTTTGTGAGTATGTCTCTCAGTGCCTTTTAAGTATAAAGGTTTCTTCCTCCCCTCCGTTTTCCACTGTGATTTGTTGTGGAAACTGCATTGTTTGTCCCATACATATTTTCCACCAAATCCTCCTGGTGTCGTTTTACATGCTTCTCCCAGTGTTTCCTATAAACTGGTAATTAGATCTAGAGAGTTAATTAGATTCAGGCATAATTTTTTTTTAGTTGAAAATAGCTCATTGGAGGTGCTCTGCACTCGGTGTTGAATCAGATCAGGAAGATCTGCTGTCTAGTTTTCTCTCCCTTAGTGATGTTAAGATCCATCAGTGGGTTCCTGGACAACCGGACTCATCCACTGTATTTTTAAAATATAGTATTTTACAAACATTACAAACATTATCCATGCAGGATACCGAGATGTCCAATAAATACTGGCTAAGATAAATGACAAGAGCAACACTCCCTTTATAAACTTTCCACTGTCAGTCTTCACCTAATAATCTTTGCAGCCATTTATGATTATTGCTTAGATCTGTTATTTCGTTGGGGTTACAAAATGGTTATTTTCTAATTTTAGCATCCCTCCCATATTTGTTAGCTCAGTTATTTTTTGAAGAACTTTCCTCAACACTATTGGGACAACCCGAAGTATAGTATAAGCCGCGTCCTCTGCCTCGGTGTTTCTTGGGGGCATATTTGCCTAAGTCCTTCTCATCCTTTAGGTCAGTGGTTCTCAACCTTCCTAATGCCGAGACCCTTCAATACAGTTCCTCATGTTGTGGTGACCCCCAACCATAAAATTATTTTTGTTGCTACTTCATAACTGTAATTTGCTACTGTTATGAATCGTAATGTAAATATCTGATATGCAGGATGTATTTTCATTGTTACAAATTGAACATAACTAAAGCATAGTGATTAATCACAAAAACAATATGTAATTATATATGTGTTTTCCAATGGTCTTAGGCGACCCCTGTGAAAGGGTTGTTTGACCCCCAAAGGGGTCTCGACCCACAGGTTGAGAACCGCTGCTTTAGGTCTTAAATGAGATGCTCTTCCAGGCAGCCTTCTCTGATCCATATCTAGTTTGGATGAGGGGACCTAAGTATGTGCTCTGATTTTATGCTGAATGTTTTCTCTATTTTGGCATTTGTCCCATTGCATACAATGACTGCCAGTGTGTCAGCTCCCTGAGGGTCATGTTGGGTTTGTCCTATTGGTTTTGCATTCCTAGCATCTAGAACAGTGCCTGGCTCTCAGTAAAAAAAAGTGCTGAATGAAAGAGACTCAGATTATTTTATTCAGTGTTGTACAACTAATAAATAATAAAGCCAGTATTTGAACACAGGTTCTTCTGACTCCAGAACTTGTGTTAGAAACCACACTATGATATTAACATGCTCTGGTTTTGGTTGTTTATACATTATCTGTGGGTCTGGGTGTTTTCAAATTGTAGGTTTACTTCATGCAAGAGCTGACTTTGCCTAGGTTCTCTTTAATCACCATTTAAAAAAAATATTTTTATTGATTTCAGAGAGGAAAGGAGAGGGAGAGAGAGAGATAGAAACATCAATGATGAGAGAGAATCACTGATTGGCTGCCTCCTGCACACCCCCCACCGGGGATCGAGCCCGCAACCCGGGCATGCGCCTCTGACCGGGCATGCGCCTCTGACCGGAATCGAACCTGGGACCCATCAGTCCAGAGGCCGACGCTCTAGCCAAACCAGCCAGGGCTCACCATTTTTAAGTGTAGTTTTGAGCCACGTTTTCTGGTGCTTTTTGTAGGAATGTTTGTGCTGTCAAATTCTTTGTCACAAAGTAAGGGTTTTGATCAAAATGAAGAGCTTGGCTCATTCTTTTTAAAGGAACCCCTTCCTTAATACATATGCTAATTTATTTATGCAATGAGCCCTAGAAATGTCTTTTGAATTACCATCCCTGGAGGTGTGGCCTTCACCTGAGTTCACTTAAACGAACTAGTAATCAATGCTATTTGGTTATAATAGAATGGGGAATGGGTATAGAATTGGATACTTTATCCAGTTGTGATTCAGAATTTATGATAAGTATAAGGTTATGATTAAGTATAAGCACTATAGGAGCAGAGGCCTGGCCTATCTTGTTCACCACGGTACCCCCCAAAGCCGAGAACTGTGCCCGGCACGTAGTAAGTATTCAATACTCTATTCTTTAAATTATTAAATCTCTATTGACAGTGAGGTCTAGAAGAGTTATAATAGTTGTACTTTATACCTACCTAATGGCATACTTTTTAAAATCTCTTCCATTTGTTCAGTAAATTAGGTGCTGGGATACAAAGATGAAAAGATATGGTTCAGATCTTTATTCATTCATTATAGGACATTATTTATGAGTCCAGTACTTTGTGCTGGGAGTTGGGAATACAAGAGTGAGTGGTTATGGCTTCTGCCTCATGTTGCTTTTAGTTTGGGAAGAAAGGAGTTGGAGGAAGAAGAGGGAAGCTGGAAACCAGTTGGTGTATTTGTTTGGCTGGCAAAATATTTTTGTTTTGTCTTTTTTCGGTTGTCACTCCCTATAGTGTCACAGTAATCGTTACTAACCTGGACCCTATAGGGATGTGAGTTGTTGACCTGTAGTTTAGAACAAGCATGTCAAACTCAAAGGCTAACACAGGCCAAATAAACAAGGTTTAAGTTTATGTGGCCGCAAAAAATCAAGAGCTTCAATTTTCATGGAACGTAGGTTTATTTCGATAGAGACATGTGAATACAAAGGGCTGAAATAAATGAGTCATCATTAACATAAAATAATAGAACATTTTAATAAAAATTAATATTTTTTCTTGAACATTACCAGACACTGTGAATAACTGCACAAATTAATAAGCGTAAGGCAAATAAACCTATTTTTCTTGTTCTCCAAAAGCGAAATACTTCCTGTTGCGCACACCAAACAAGTCAGTCCAAGACCAATGACGTGGCACTAGGCTGCTAAAATATTCGCTGCTAGTATTAGTGGAGAGAAATGGTGCGCCTGCGCGTAAGGTACGGAAGGGAAATGAATGCAATACGATTCTAGTAATCAGTCATTAGCGAACGTTGTAGTTTGTTATTAATAATTATGTATAATAGGATATTGTAAAAATTAAGTTATGGAATTTTTATTAAAATGATTCTTACATACCGTTATATTGGCTGGGCCGCAAAAATATTCATTGTGGGCTACATGTGGCCCGCGGGCCGTGAGTTTGACATGCTTGGTTTACACTGACAAGATCATTAGAAATGAAGGTCACACAGAGGGCCAGTGATTATTTGAGTTCAAAACCCAAGAGTTGTTAGTTCTTTATACTCTCTCTCTCCCCACTCTCCCCCCGCCCCCATGATCCTATATGCCTTAATTGCACCCTTAAAAACTCCTTCTTGTACCTTCTGAAGGACTTTGGAGAGGCACACTGTGTTTTTTTGACATTGTATTTATTTATCTTTCCTCCAAGCTGTTGTCACCATCTAGAATCTTTATGTAAAAATACACTGGAATTGTTCGAGAGCACCTCTCCTTGCATGTTTTTTCCATCTCTCCCCGCTTTTCTTTCCCTCTGTTCACTCTAGAATCCAGTTGTTGTGGAAATAATTGTCATCTCAGCAAGCAACAGGAACTATTTTCACATGCCTCTTGCCGGGAATTAGGCCCAAGGGAAGGGAACCAACCTCAGAAGGAACAAGGAGACAGTAGAAAAAAGATTGTGTGCACGGTTGTTTAGCACTTACTGGGTCTGACTTTATAAATGACAGTCCCTTTGAGCCGTAGTTTCCTCTGCTATATAGCGGAGATCATCATCCCATAGAGGATTAACAGATAAAGATGTACCGTGCTCACCCTGATGCTGGGCCTACTGTAGGCACGTAATTAGAATCCCTCTCTTCTTTCCCCCTTTCCTGTGCTTTTTAATGTACCTCTCCTCCTGAGGAATTTCCTTCCTTCCTTTCCTGTTTTTCACAAATATTTATTAAACTCCTCTACTGTATGCCAGGCACTGGGTCCAGTGCTGGGGTATAGCAGTGAAGAAAACAAAATACTTGTCACCAGGGACTAGAATACAAAATATGTAAAGAACTCTTATAACTCAATAATAAAAAGGCAATCTAATTAAGAAATGGGCAATGAATAGCTATTTCTAGTCCAGTATGAATGGCAATGAACACATGAAAAGTTGCTCAATATCAGTAATCATCAGGGAAATGGAAATCAAAACTGCAATGAGAAAATATCACACCACTCAGACGACTGTAATATAAAAGACAGTAGCAAGTTGGCAAGGATGTGGAGAAATTGGAATCCTCATACATTGTTAGTGGGAATGTAAAATGGTGCAGCCAGTTTGGAAAACAGCCTGGCAGTTCCTCATAATGCCAAGCATGAGTTACCTAGCAATTCTGCTCCTAGACATCAGCCCAGGAGAAATGAAAACATGCGTTCATATAAAAACCTGCACATGAATGTTTATGGCAGCGATATTCATCATAGCCCCAAAGTGGAAACAACCCAAGTATCCATTAACTGATGAATAGGTAAAATGTGGTATAATCCATAAAATATTATTCGGCAATAAAAAGGAATAAAGTAGTGGTACATGCTATAGCATGGATGAATCTTGAAAACATGTCAAGTGAGAGAAGCCAGTTACAAAAGACCATGTGTTGTATGATCTTGTTTATATTAAAAGTCCAAAATAGGCAAATATGTAGAGAAAATTGGTAAGTGGTTACCTAGGACTGGAGTTGGGGTGGGAGAGTCGGAGGTGGGTGGTGGAGAGTAACTGTTAACAGGTATGGGGTTTCTTTTGGGATGATGAAAATGTCCTAAAATTATTTTATAGTGATGTTACACCATATTCTAAATATTCTAAATCCCACTGAATTGTACATTTTATAAGGTTAAACCTTATGGTATATAAATCATATGCCAGTACAACTGTTAAAAATCTAATTACCCTTTTCTATTCTAACTGCACCCATCTTCTCAGCCTAAGAATATGCCCTGACCACCCATCCTAAAACAAAGTGGGACAAATATAAACCCCACGTTGGGCCCCCTTCCTTCTCCCGACCTATGATTTTCTTACTTTCCTTCATAGCTGAGACACCTGAAAGTTAGAAAATAAGTAATTTATAAATAGTTCATTGTAGAAGAGTTAGAAATTAATGGGTAAGCAGAAAAATTGTTTCAGACATTTAATCTGTTATTAATAAATGATCATTGTTACTATTTATTTTTATTTGTTGATTTTACAGAGAGGAAGGGAGAGAGGGAGAGAGAGAAACATCAATTGGTTGGTTGCCTCCTGCACTGGCCCTACTGGGAATTGAACCTGCCACTTTTTGGTGCATGGGATGACACTCCAGCCAACTGAGCCACCCTGGCCAGGACAGTCATTGTTAGTATCTTATATCATTTTAACTTTAGTTAGAAAAGTTGACACCTTGTGTGTGTGTTTTTTTAAATCTTCACCTGATCAGTTGCCTCTCATATGTACCCTGACTGGGGACCAAACCCACAACTTTTTGGTATATGGGATGGATGATACTCCAACCAACTGAGCCACCCTTGTGTTTCTGTTTTCAGAGGAGTGTTTGTTATAAGGACAGGTTTATGTGAACTCAGATAGAACATTAGAATATTCTTTTAAAGAAAAGAGTCTTACTCTTCTGTGATAATGGTAAGTATGGCGGGCTTTTATGCATGACTTGATTTTTTAACTTTTTGGAATTGCCTAGATCAAATTTGAGGTCATTAAAAACGAATGCTTACGAGGCCTTCCTGCTCAGTAGAGTGGATGGAATGCATAAAGCCTGGTTGCCTTTTAGGCCACACTTGTTACATGGCTTTTGCTTAAGCCGCAGCCTCGTATCACAGAGGATTTCAGCCCCATGCCCTGTGAAATAAAAATTTCATGGATTACCTTCCACTTCTGTGGACTGTGCTAAATGTCTGGCTGACATTGGCTGTGAATGAGGATGTGAGCTGGTAAGATGGACTTCCTGCCTTAGAAATCATACTGAGCTCGTTTCATGGGTCTTTTCTCTCTTTTGCGTGTGCAGAACTAGATTGGCTGAGCAACCCAAGCTTTTGTGTTGAAACCGTCACAACTCTGAGCCAACAAACCGAAGAGGCCGCAGCTCTTGTTTCTGAAGGGTCACCGCTGACGAGGTAGTACTTTTGGGAGATGGAGTTTGAGTCTTTGTCGGTGACCACTCGTGGCTTAGCCTGAATGAGCCTCCTTAGAAAACCCTGTGACAGAAGAGCTAAGTAAAGCTCTTACTGAGAGTCATGAGGCGACCTTTGACTATTTTCCCTTACCTCACTCTTATTCCTTTCCCCCTTTGCATTGCGGTGGCAACTGCGTGACACAGTGACTGCCAGTAATTAGCCCTGAGGGAAATGGCATCACTGTGACTCTTATTTACTAACCTCATTAGTAACCTTTAGAATATTGGTAAACATAGAATTCAGCTATTTCTTCAGTTGCATTTTCAACATTTTTGTAAAAATAGAAGGCGCTTGCGTAATATAATGTGGGGAAGGGGGAAGTTTTTCCTTCTTTCCTCTGGTTCTTTTTGGCTGGCAAAATAATATTTCAACAGGAGGTAGATTGACAAGAGAAAATAGAATTTAATATCGTGTGCACGGGAACCCCACATACAGGAGAGAGGAAGAGACCCCGCATGCATGGGAGGTTCAGAGATAGAAAGGGAGACATCCTGAATGAGGGGTGAGGTGAGGTGCCTTCAGAAGGTCGTTGCAGGATGATAAGAGCAGACCTTTAGTAAACTAGAAGTTTCCTGCCCCATAGGTAGGTCAGAAGAAGCTATGACAATCTCTTATGGGCCAGGGTCTCTAATTCAGCTTCTTCTAGGTAGTTAAGGAATCAGGGAGGGAGGAGAAGTTTCTCTTGAGCCTGAAGCTAAAATTGCCTTTAGCTCAAAGCAATCTGCATATCACTGAGGCACTCCTTGGGGGTAGCTCCTTCTAGACCTCCACAATAGCATAGGAGAAATCTCATGAAAACGATGGGAAAAGCAAAATGGCACACATCGCTACCCAGCTTTGAAAGAATATTGTTGTAGATCATTGAATTGAGAAATGAGCTCACCAGCCCGCCAATATAGACTAGATGGTCCATTAATACGATGAACCCCCGGAAGCCATGTTCTCCCAAAGTGGAAGAAGCCTTTGAAAGTTGAGAGTAGTTGATACATGAGAGGGAGTTGTTTGTAGATATTGCAGTAATGATGAAGAAAATAAACCTTGCCCTAACCAGTTTGGCCCAGTGGATAGAACGTCGGCCTGCGGACTGAAGGGTCCCAGGTTCGATTCCGGTCAAGGGCATGTACCTTGGTTGCGGGCACATCCCCAGTGGGGGGTGTGCAGGAGGCAGCTGATCGGTGTTTCTCTCTCATAGATGTTTCTGACTCTCTATCCTTCTCCCTTCCTCTCTGTAAAAAGTCAATAAAGTATATTTTTTTTAAAAAAGAAAAACCTTTTCTAATGTTGCTTTTAAAAATATTTGATAAAATAACTGGTAGATTACTTTCATTTAAAAATGTATAGATATCAAAGTATAGCTTCAGAAGCTATTAGAATTTCTTTACCTTGTTTTACTTTAGATCCAACTTTTATTTTAAGGTGAGTTGTGATCCAGGAAGATATTTTATGATATATGGGCCAATAGTAAGTCTGTGTGAGCACTTTTAGAATGTCCTTTTATATACTTGTTTATTTGGTTACTTATTTACATATTATTTCCCCTCATTCTCTTCTAAAAAGTCTAATGTGGATTTTCCCAAACAGGAGTCCTCTGAAATCAGAGCTATCAGATGAAAGTGACTCGAACAGAAACCTCAGACAAGCCAGCAGGAAAAAGAAGAAGGAGAAAAAGAAGAAGAGGAAGCATCAGCACCACAAGAAAACCAAGAGAAAACGCGGGCAGTCCGGTAGCAGTGGGTCTGAACCAGACACTGACTCTGAAAAGGACAAATCCCCCAGAGGCCTCAGAGGCGGGAACAGAGGACCGGAGACACTGAGGTGGGTGTCCTGCCTCAACATCTGTGATCTAAATCTTTAATTTTTCTCCCCCGATTACTGCCATAACTTAAGTGGTTAAATGATTATTTAACCCTACTCAGTCAAACAAAGTCAAAAAATATCTCAACAAAGCTGGGGAAAAAATAGTTCTACCACCTTGTCAGCATGAAGGAAATTTTTTAACAAACTAGGGCCATGATTTTGTTTGAGAAATGTTAGGCACGGTAATGATTATGTCAAAATCTGAGTTAGACAAAAAAAATCCTTAAGAGTTTTGAAAGATGGCAAATGTGCCATCTGGGCTAGTTCACTCGAAGGGGCCGTTGGCTCCACATTTATCAAGAATAAGAGAAACGTCTTCTTCTCATTTTGCTGTATCTTCCTTTTAGTCACTTTCACCCCTCTGTGCACCCCCCTCTCACACTTTGGTTAAGGTTAATTATAGCCCTTAAAATAATAGTTGCTTCTGTTCTTATTTCACATTTTTTAGAACCACTGACTTGGAGGTATAAGCTAGCTATGACCACAGTATTTCCTCTCCGGGGGCTTCATTGCTGTGCATCCTGGGCTGCTGCCTATCTCGAGGGCATTGTCCAAGTCCTTCTGCAGACGGTCACAGCGTAGGTCCCCACTGTCCCTGCTCCTCTCTGCTTCGTCTAACAGCCCCCTTCATAGGGAGGCCCTTTGCCCAGAGGCAGGACAGTGAGTATGTGGTGAAAATACTTGAATTATCCCCTATTTAACTTTTCTTTTCTTTGTTCATACAGTCGAGAAGAGAGAAAAGTTAAGCACCCGTCCACAGCATACTAAAAGTTTAGTGCTAGTAAGATTTCTGCGATTCTCGAGGGGTGATTTGCTTTTGTTGTGTGCTCAGAAGTCCCATGATGCCAGTGAGAACTCTGTGTGGAGCAGGTTCAGAACGTGGCCTGTAGAGTTTCCATTGGAGAGGCGGATGCCACAGTCTTCAGGATCCTTCTGTTGTCTGATCGGTGTTGGAGGACATGCCGGCCTCTGGCTCAGAGTCCAGGTGTATTTAGCCCTCCGTGTGTTTCAGGTGCTCTCCCTGTAACCCAAACTTGCTCTCAGAGAATAAATATTGGGTCAAGCAAAAAGGTCGGAATTTCTGTGGGCAGGAGCCAGGCCCCCCTTGCTGACCATTGTTCCTCCCGGCCTTGGCACAGGCTTGATACATAGTAATACATACGCCAAATGCATTTTTGTTAAGTGAACGAGTGAGTATATTATTGATATTGCTTTTTTGGCATGTCTTCAAAGAAAAATATATTAATCGTTATAGCGTCTGAAAATTCACTGTTAGCTACCTCTCCCTTTTTATAGCCGAGGCAGAAAAGCTTCAAAGGATTTCCTGAACACACACAGGAACCACCATTCGAACTGGAAAGATAGTTGTTTGCAGCCTGTGTTTAACCACGACAGAGGTGATCTTTGCAGCCTCCTGATAGTTTTATGACCCAGACAGCATTTTTAAATTTGTTGATGTTTTGCAGAATATCCCCAATAAGATAAAAATAAAATGTTTTTGTCCTGTTTTACGTTCTTAGTATGAATGTCTGTAGTCTCTTTGTGGGAAGGTGACCTGGAAGAATTGTTTGTTTCCATATTGACTAGTGAGTTCTGAGTCTTTCTGTGATGTCAGTAAAGTGGATTCATGGGGTGTAATACACCATGTGGGTCTCTAGATTAAGGGACGACTTCCCTAGAGGCTATAGCTTCTACTTGACCTTTGTTTCCTGGGATGACTTCTTTCTCACCTTCAGGTGGGAGGCAGATTCCTCCCTGTGCACAGCCCAGACCACATCCTGCTTCCTGACCTGAATACTCAGCAGGGGAGGGATAAGGACTTGTTCACTCCCCAGGGATGGTCTGCCGCTGGCCCTTCCTTTTCTTTTTTGTTTTACCCCCAGTTGGCTTTCTCTTTCTTTCTGGGATGCATCAGTCTCTTTCCCTCCCTTTGCCTGACCCGTATGGTTTTCATTGACAGAAACCCCTCCACAGTGTTTCTGAAGGGGGATGTGTTACCATCACCCTGTTAACCGGAGACACGTCATTTGTCATTTAACAGATATTTATTGAATTGCTACTTTGTGTCCCGGAAATACCATTCTCTTGTATTCCCAGCCAAGAATGATTTAGAAGCCTCCAGAATCCTCATTTCTGTCCGGGAGAGCTAAAAAGCAGGTGGGACAACAGTTAATGGCTGTTGTGACCTTTGGCAGCATCTGTCAGCAGCATCATGAACTGATTTTCTTTAGAGGAGGAAAGGTGTGAGATGCCAGAAAATCCTCCCCGCCTCTCACTTGACTCCTAGGAAAGTGGTTCCATTGGTATCTGAGCTGAAAGTCTGCCAGCTCACAGATTGGTTCAGAGGGATAAGTCAGGGTCTTGTCTTACAGCGGGCGCTCTCTGCCCTTCATGTAGGAGGTCGGTCCATGCAGGCAAAGCTGTGCTCAGAGCCCAGGCCAGAAAAGCAAGACTTAGACTTATCCCAAGTGACATCTGAGGCGGAACTATTCACAACTGTGGCCTTTGTTGTTGTCATTGTTGAGTTTGGGGTTGGCATAAATAACCCGAGCACTTTCAAATAAGGGGAAGTAAGAGCCGCCCACCTTTTTTCTTTTCTTAACGAAAAATCGCTTGTTTATGAATATATTTGACATTCAGGTTACAGTAATTTAAATGGAATACTTGGAAAAGAACACCTCCGTACCCCTCAGGTTAGGTTCTGAGATGACTTGTTTTCTGGGAAAGTGCCACTTAGTGTTGACAGGTTTGCTTTCTATTTTAAACCTGCTTTTGCAGCAGGCGTCCTCTTCTCGTCTGTATGGCATGTACGCATTTTGGGTACCTAGTTCCCTTGATGCGTGTGGAGTTTGAAACGTGTAACTTCCATGTTGCTGCAAATGTGAAGTGTTAATGGAAGGTTGTTAAGTGCCTCTCCCTTTTTCTTCTTCACCTTCCCTTGTCCCATAGCCAAGAAAAGAATGCTGCTGCTGCTCCTGCTGCTGGGCTCCGCTGTGTTTGGCTTGAGGACATCCAGGCTCTGACAGGAGAAACCTTCAGAACAGATAAGAAACCAGACCCTGCAAACTGGGAATATAAGTCTCTCTACCGAGGAGATATAGCCAGGTACCCATCCTATCTTTTCCTGACTTTCTCTGGTGGGAAGTCACTTCTCTCTCCTGAACTCTCTCAGCGCAGTCTCTGGCGGGCCGGCCACACCCATCCTCTTGTAGATTCTGTTGGGTTTTTGTCCATTGCTAAGTTCTTTAGGTGTATCTTATCTTACATTCTAAAATGAAAACTTAAAACTTGAGATCAGGATCCAGGTTGGATTAATCGTATTTATCCATGGTGCTTGGGGAACAGTGCCTGGCCTAATAGGTGTTCAGTAAGTATTTGTTGCATGAATGAATCTAAAAATACCATGAAATAATTGTGACAAACTATCTGGAAACCATTTGATCTAACCCAGCAGTTCTCAACCTGTGGGTCACGACCCCCTTGGGGGTTGAACGACCCTTTCACAGGGGCCGCCTAAGACCATCGGAAAACACATATATAATTACATATTGTTTTTGTGATTAATCACTATGCTTTAATTATGTTCAATTTGTAACAATGAAAATACATCCTGCATATCAGATATTTACATGACGATTCATAACAGTAGCAAAATTACAGTTATGAAGTAGCAACGAAAATAATTTTATGGTTGGGGGTCACCACAACATGAGGAACTGTATTAAAGGGTCGCAGCATTAGGAAGGTTGAGAACCACTGATCTAACCTATATGCCATTTTAAAAAGTTGCAAAAGCCTTTTATTTATCCATCCCCCACTCCCATTTTAAAAATGACCTTAAATGGTAATGACTTTTCCAAAATGTTTTCAGCATACATCACTAGGTAATCATAAAACTAGGTGATGATATTTGCTTCAGTAATGAGTTTAAGCTTTTCTCCTCTAATCTGTCAATAAAAAATATTTGAATACTTATTAAACCTTTTAGGTAGTTAGTGCTTTGTGAGACACTGTTGGGAACGTAAAGAACAATAATGTACAATCTCTGTTCCCAAACAGCTCACAGGTAATCAAAAGAGAAGGTAGAGAAACATGGGATATAAGGCCAAGAAGTCCTGTCCAGTTAATAAGATTCTCTGACAAATGATAAATTGGCTACAACCTAAATATCCAGGAAATTGTTAAATAAACTATGGCATACCCCTCTAAATGGACCAGTTCAAAGCCAATAAAAATTACATATATTAAGGCTAATAGTGTGGGAAAATACTTAAAAAATAGGAAGAAAAGTCTGAAGCTATATAACTATTTTAATATGGGTTATGTATATATACATATAAATCTATACATACCCACATATCTGAAAGAAGATGCTTAAAAATATGGACCAGTAATATTATTTTTTCTCCTTTATTATTTTCATCTAATTTGTTATGAAATGCAGCTATTAAAATTAGTTTTACAAAATGCAGTTTTAAATTCGGAAAACTCAGTAAACCTGTTTTGGAAATATGAATTTCTAAAATATTCATTTTTAGTGAAAATAAAATAGTAATTAAGGAGAAAAAAACTAGTTTTGTACTTAAAATTTGTTCCTTAGGGAATGATAGGCTCATTTAGAGCAATTGTAGCACTATTTTATCTCCTCACCCTGTTGTTAAAGTTGTTTTTAACTCATAAATGGAACGGAGAGAGGTTCTTTGGAGATAATCTAGGAGAAGCTGGGGGAGAGGATGAAGAGAAGGGTTTGCGAGACAGCTCGTACGTGTGTGTGAGACACTCTTCCCCCAAAGTGGACTCACTGCACCTGGGCAGCGAGGGAGCACAGGCAAGCAGAGAGCTTCTCGGGTACCTGCTGACAGTGGGAAGCCAGTGAGGTGCTGGCTCAGCCACAGGGGGTGGGGGCAGAGCTCCCGGGAGTTGGGAGTTGATAGAAGATGGCAGCGGGTCTCTCCTGCCTTTTCTCCCCTTGGCACTTTATTATGAAAATGTAAAAAAATACAGCGAAGTTGGGAGGATTTTACAGTGAACACTCATATACCTGCCCCCTACATTCCACCATCTTATCCTATATAATAAAAGGCTAATATGCAAATTGTCCCCTCGGGAGTTCAACCTGGAGACCGGGAGCTTGATTGCTTGCTATGACATGCGCTAACCACCAGGGAGCGGTGTGGAACATGGCAAGTGACCAGCGGCGGTGGGGTGCTGAGGGAGCGAGGGTGGTGGCATGGGCTGTGAGGGAAGGAGGAGGCGGGGAGGCGGGGAACCTGATCAGCCCTGATCGCTGGGCAGGCCTAGGGACCCTACCTGTGCACGAATTTCATGCACCAGGCCTCTAGTTTTATTATATTTGCCTTATCATATATCTGTCCATTCATCCATCAACCCATATTAGTTTTTGATGCATTTCAAAGTAAATTGCCAACATCAATATACTACCCCCTAAATACTTCAGCATGGATATCATTAACTACAGTCCAAGATTTGTTTCATTTATTTCTCTTTTGATTTAAAATTTGCATATATTCTAATACACAGATCTTCATTTGCTGAGTGTGACAGAGGGATGCACCTGGATAACCCAGACCTCTGTGAAAGTAGAGAACATCACTGTGACCCCAGACAGTGTCCTCAGGCTCCTTTCCAGTCGGTCCACACCCCACCTCCCCCGAGGCCGTCACCGTTCTAATTTTTTCCTATCAGTTAGCTTGGTCTCTTCTAGAATTTCATATTCAGTGGAATCAGATAGTGTGTACTCTTCCGTGTCTGGCTCCTTCCACTCAGTGAAATGGTTTTGAGCTTCATCCCTGTTGTGGCATTTACCACCGTTCGTTTCTTCATTCTTCAGTTGGCAGACACCTGGACTCCCTCCAGTATTTGGCTGTTGTGAATAAGCTTATGAGAAGATTTGTGCACAAGTATTTGTGTAGACATGTGGTTTCCTTTTTCTTGGGTAAATACCTAGGAATAGAATTACTGGGTCATAGGGTAGGTCTATACTTAGTTTTCTAAAGAAACTGCCGGACCTTTTCCCAAAGTGCTTGTACGAGTGTATATTCCCATCGACAGCACATGGGGTCCTGGTTACCCGGCAGATTACTCACCAACATTTGGTATTGTCAGTCTTTTGAATGTTGGCTGTTTTGATGGGTATGTGGCCTATCTCTTTGTGGTTTTAATTTGCATTTCCTTGATGACTCATGATGTCCAGCACTTTTTTCATGTGCTTATTGGCCGTTCATGTCTTCTTTTATGAGTTCTGTTCAGATCTTTTGCCCATTTTTAAATTGGGTTGTTTATATAACATGTATACGGAGAAGCGCACAGTTTTCCTGAGCTTTTGTGCAGCTAGTCGGTAGTCATGTGTTCCTAACTCTGGGGACGCCTACACGTTCCATAAAAGCGTCTCAGAACCCAGCCTCCTTTCCTCCCGAGGAGAAAATAGCCAGATGTAATTTTATTTGACACACTTAGTTTCAGGATTAAAAAAGAATCTTAGACCTATATGTTATCTTTTTAAGTAGGGACATAGGACCACACTGAGGGAAAGGAGACAGATGACTTGGTGTCACCTGAGGTCTCAGTGTCCTTATTTAGGAACAGTAAGGAGGGGATGATGGTTCCTGCCTTGCCTGTCGCCTGTGATTGTGATCAAACGACATAATGTAGGTGACAGGACTTGAACTACAAAGCTCCAGGGAAGTGTAAATTACCAACATCCAGGGGGCAGGCATGAGCTCAAATTCGTGAGACGTCAACGAAGACTTGAAGTGTTAGAGGAGTAAGTTACATGGACAGAAAAAGTTCACTGCTAATCCTCCTATTTTCCTCAGTAGAGACAGTTTGAAGGTAAGGTGAATTTGCATATATGCATTTAACTTGCATAACAAGAGTTTTAAGTGTGATGAGCCTTCACCCATTCAGAGTTAGTGCACATATTTCCTCAGTAACTTTTTCTTTTTCATACTTAAGATACAAGAGGAAAGGAGACTCCTGCCTTGGCATTAACCCTAAGAAGCAGTGCATATCCTGGGAGGGGGCTTCCACGGGAAAGAAGCGTGCGCACAAGCATGTCGAGCGCTATTTCACGAAGAAGAACGTGGGGCTGATGAACGCTGATGGAGTTGCCGTGAGCAGTAAAACTGACCCTCCCTCGTCTGCGCCCCTCTCCTTCATCCCAGTGAAGGACTCGGACGATGTGGCTCCTCCTGTTACAACCTGGTTGAACCCTCTGGGGATTTATGATCAATCCACCACCCAGTGGTTACAGGGACAAGGTCCTTCAGAGCAGGAATCTAAGCAGCCAGACTCACAGCCAGACCATGAGGACGCGCTTCTCAAGGCCAGGGTGGAGGAGTTCAACCGGAGGGTGCGGGAGAATCCTCGGGATACTCAGCTGTGGATGGCGTTCGTTGCTTTTCAGGTAAGCATCACTGTCCCCCCTCTCCTACCTCACATAGCATGGCAGTGCTCATGTTGGCAAAGCGATGTGCTTTGTGAGCTCCCAGGAGGAGCCCAGGCACCGGGCATATAAAGATGATTACACTATAGCCCTTGCCCTGAGCGTGCCCAGAGTGCAGGGGGAAGACTGGCGTGTGAAGAACCATGCATCTGGGGAGATAAATGCCTTCATGTGTAATTCGGGGATGGAATGAGGGAGTGACTTGCCATAGAGAGTAAGAAAGGGTTTCCAAGAGAAGGTGGAATCTGAGCAGAATCTTTAGGGAAGAGTGGATGCTCACCAGGAGGGGGAGGCCTTGGGGAAGTGCAGACAGACCACGCGGAGAGCACAGAATGTGGAGAGAAGGGCTGCTCGTTGAGTTACCTCGTTAGGGCTACGTGCGCCCTTTCTAAAATACATGGGTTGTCTTAGTTCCACCTACATTTTTTTGAACAACTTATACAATTATATTTTGTCCCTCATTTGACTGTTTTAATGGTCAAGTTGATTCCAGAAAAGGATTTCAAGGCATTGCATGCTAGTTATTGATACATAAATCTAAGTTTTAGATGCCAATAGGCAGGTCAGTCAGGTGAAATAAATACAAGATCAGTATACGAGGTGGCACAGGTACCCCAGGAACTGAGCTGCCATTAGGAGAAATTGTCATAAACTAGTGGTTATCAACAAAGTCCAAATAGCAGAGCCTTTGGAGAGATGAGGAACCCTCGGGCTTGTGAGTAGCTGCTGGGCAGCTGGGATCCGGAGGAGGCAGTTCCCCGTGCATTTGAAAATGGGTGTTTTTGTTGTTGAGGACGAGGTCATGCGGAGCCCTGGCCTGTATGCCATCGAGGAAGGCGAGCAGGAGAAGCGGAAGCGGTCCCTGAAGCTCATCCTGGAGAAGAAGCTGGCCATTCTGGAGCGGGCCATCGACAGCAACCCGAGCAGCGTGGACCTGAAACTCGCCAAGCTGAAGCTCTGCACGGAGTTCTGGGAGCCCTCCACGCTGGTCAAAGAGTGGCAGAAGCTGATATTCCTGCACCCCAACAATACAGCCCTTTGGCAGAAATACCTTTTGTTTTGCCAGAGCCAGTTCAGCACCTTTTCAATATCAAAAATTCACAGCCTTTATGGGAAATGCTTGAGTACATTGTCTGCTGTGAAGGATGGTAGCATCTTGTCTCACCCTGAGCTGCCTGGCACCGAGGAGGCCATGTTTGGTAAGGAGATGGTGACCAGATCCATTTACGTGGGAGGAATGATGCTGCCTTTTTTTTTTTTAATTAAAGGAGAGGGAGGGAGAGATGGAAACATCAATGATGAGAGAATCTTTGATTGGCTGCCTCCTGCATGCCTCCTACTGGGGATTGAGCCCACAACCTGAGCAGGTGCCCTCACTGGGAATTGAACCGTGACCTCCTGGTTCGTGGGTCAGTGCTCAACCACTGAGCCACACCTGTTGGGCAGGGAATAATGCTTTTGACTTTAATTGAAAATGAAGATTTATTTTGATTTATTTTAGAAGAGTCGAAGTTGATAAACCTGATTGATACATTGATAAAATTGATTAATCAAGAAAAAAACTATTATGACTCCTTTTGACCATGATGGATTCTTCCCCTTCCAGCTTCTTGGTGGTGGTGGTGGGGGTATTAGAGACAGTAGAGTTAGGAAATTATTCCTGGCCTAGAAGTTCCAACTTCTCTAGTTATTAACCAGGGAGGCACAGTCAACACTCATAACTTTGGCTGCCAACGGCCTGGTCTGTTGAGGTACCTGTGCTGCTCATCACCTCCAGTCCTAGGGTTTAGGGCAGTCATGCTTGTGGGATGTCCTCACTGACTGGAAATCTTTGCATCAGTTTAGAGGTTACTGGTATTATATGGTTAGCCTTTTTGGTGTTACCCAAAGGAGCCTAGAATATAAATTTGTCCAGTAGTGACATATCAGAGGCAGCATGTTATGCAGGAGCTAGAGAATGTCGCTCTTGACTTGAATCCTGGGTTTGCCCTTCAGTGGTTCTGGTATGACCTTGGATAAGTTCCTTAACCTGTTTAAGCTCTTGTCTCTCCCTCAGCAACGATAGTATGCTACCTGCTTACAGGGTTATATGGTGAAAATACATGGTGAGTCTAGCTCAGTGTCTGGCACACCGCAGGCAGTTATTGGGTCAAAACCCTGCGATTACAGTGAACTTCTAAAGATGTAAATATATTGCTCTAGAGCAGTGGTTCTCAACCTTGGCTGCACATTAGACTCACCTGGGAATCTTTGTAAAAATCCTGATTTCTGGGCCTCATCCTCCGGAAATTCCGTTTCTTTGTTACTAATGTTGTGGCCCCACCCCATAACAAAGCAACAGAATTTCCGGAGGATGAGGCCCAGAAATCAGGATTTTAAAAAGATTCCCAGGTGATTCTAATGTACAGCCAGGGTTGAGAACCACTGCTCTAGAGAGAACAAGCATTTACCACACTGGCATAACGAGCCTCGTGTGTGCTATCATTTGTGATATGCTCAACTAGCTCAACATTACTTAGTAAATGGAATTGCACCACACTTAAGGCAAACTGAAATGTTCAAGCGTGGAACCTTGATTTGGTTACAGCTGACGCTGAGCATATGATGAAAATTGCTGGTGAATAATGCCATCTAGTGATCCACTGAGTAAAGGTCTTGGCTTTCCGGTAAAAAAAAAAAAATGTACCATGCCATCCTTTTCTAGAAATTTTCTTGTGGGCATAACTAGCATTTAAACAAGGGCCATAAGTAAAGGAAAAAAGGGACATAAGTGAGTCTTTGTATTGGGGGGGGGGGACTCTTGTTTTATCTCTCCATGGTTCTCCACCTTCATTGTGGAAGTTTCCTTGGATTGCTAGAATCTATCTGAGAAACAATCCTTTGAGTTTTTGATAACAATATTCAGACCAATCTCTTGCCTTACATTTATGTATATGTAGTTTTTATTGTTAATATTTTTATTCTGTGGTGGTTTCATATAAAAATTAAATGAATATACTTTGATTACAGAGCTGCTGTGAGTCCTTTTAAATCAGGACATGTAGGTATCACAGCTTTGCAAATTCAGCAGTAACTGATTTCAGGAAGATGTTCTCGGTGTTTTACTGTATCTTAGGAATCAGGTTGTTTTTCCTCGATGGTGTTAACCAGAGTTCTCTGCCGCTTTCAGCGCTCTTCCTTCAGCAGTGCCACTTCCTGCGCCAGGCCGGGCACGCGGAGAAGGCCGTCTCCTTGTTCCAGGCCATGGTCGACTTCACCTTCTTCAAACCCGACAGCGTGAAAGACCTGCCCACCAGAGGGCAGGTAGGAGCTCTGCTTCCCTTTCTCTCCGCCCTTTTCCCCTCCCCCTCTTCCCTTCCTTGCTCCTCTCTCTTTTGGGGGGAGGGATGGATCATGGGAGGTGATGGTGGTATTTTTTTTTTTTTAATCCTCACCTGAGGATATTTTTCCATTGATTTTTAGAGAGAGTGGGAGAGGGAGAGACAGAGAAACACTGATGTGAGAGAGACACATCGATTGGTTGCCTCCTGCATGCCCATGACCAGGGCTGGGAGCCTGCAACCGAGGTACATGCCTTTGACTGGAATCGAACCCAGGACCCTTCAGTCCGCAGGTTGATGCTCTATCCACTCAGCCAAACCAGCTAGGGCGGTGGTGGTAGTATTTTTAAAATACCTATCTTCCTTTGTATCAGACCTGCTGAGGATTGTTTCTCAGATAGATTCTAGCAATCCAAGGAAACTTCCATGATGAAGGTAGTGAAACATGGAGAGATAAAACAAGAGTCCCCCCCACCCCCCAATGTAAAGACTCACTTATGTCCCTTTTTCCCTTACTTACGGCCCTTGTTTAAATGCTAGTTGTGCCCACAGTCAGGAAAACCATTGTCTTGCCTACTTTTGTGCGTTCTAAGGTGAGTCTTTTGTAACTTCCCCTCGTAACCTTTCCACTGCTCAGATCTTTGCTGGAGTTGCCAAGGGAATGCCACGCTGGCACTTTGTCAGCACCGATCCTAATTGGGGAAGGGTTGGTCATTCAGGTGACAGGTGAGCGTGGCCAATATTTGTGATGTGAAGCAGTAAGAAAACCCTATTACAGAGCTATTCAATAAGAAAGCCTTTTCCCTTTTCCATGGAAGATTCCGGTTTCCTGTTCTGCCAAGGGTATGGTGGAGAGGGATAGGATATCTGAATTCATGGTGACCTTTCAGAGGTCTTTCTCGAGAGGCTAAGGTCTACATCTTGTAGAATTTTTTTGAATTGCCTATAAAGACTATTTTTACCATCATTTTTTCCCACTAGAAAAAACACAGGATTTTATTGTTCTCCTGTTGAAGGGCAGGTCTTTGCAGGACGGGGGAGTGAATTTGACAGCAGGGAGGAACCCCTACTTGCCAGCGATGAGTGGGTTCCGCAGGACCACAAAGGCCGAGTCCCTGCGCAGGAGCCGTTCCTTGTGGACAGGCTTGGACTTCTTCTTGCCTCGCCACTCTCGGGCCCTCGGTCCACATCTCCCTCACTTCTCCAGCACCATGTCGCAGTGCCTGTCCAGCCATCACTCCGCCCAGGAGCTTCTTGTTGTTGCGACAGTTGGTGAGCACCTGGGTTGTTCTTGACCGACTGCGTGAGCACGGAGTGTTAAACTCTCCCTCCCCTGCTTCTGCAGCTCCTCCGGGGTCATCTCACTCGGGCTGTGGAGAAGGCTCATGGGGGCGTGGTTGCCTCTCAAAACGCTCCCATTCTCTGCATTGCGTCAGCCTCGGAAGAGAAATATCATTATTATTTTTATTTTTTTTCCAGACAAAGTTGGGTTAAAGAATATTGGTGGATATTGGGATAACTGATTCTTCGTATAGTAAGCCAGATAACAGTTATTTTAAGACATACTTTGCTACTTACGAATATGCTGTGCTACAGCCGTGATTCTTAGCCAGCTCTGCAGAGCATGGGGTGTGTGGTCGGGGCTCAAGGTCAGGGTCAGGGTCATGCTCATGCCCACCCCTTTGCTGACACTCGAAGTCTGATGAGAGCCGTTTCTCATGGGGCTCAGGGGAGGGCCCTGGCCAGGACTGTGGGCATCGGCAGCCTCTCTGATGTGTCAGGAGAGCCTGATCCAAGCTCTTGGGGTTAATAGCACAGGTAACTGCAAAGTATTTACATGGCAACCTTGAAATAAAGCTTTTTATTTAGTGACTTTCTGTATCTCTGAGTAAGTCGTCACCATAAGCAGGCAGAGTCTGGTATTACTAGTCTGTGTTTCTGTGGAATAAATTGGTTATAACCATTTATCACACTTTAAAAAAAACACCTTTTTTTGAGTAAATAAAACCTGTAAAGAGGGAGTGTAGCGAGGCTGGCGTGGCTCAGTGGTTGAGCATCGACCTATGAACCAGGAGGTCACAGTTTGATTCCTGGTCAGGGCATATGCCCTATATTGCCGGCTCAATCCCCATTAGGGGGCATGCAGGAGGCAGCCAATCAATATTCTCTTTCATCATTAATGTTTCTACCTTTCTCTCCCTCTCCCTTCCTCTCTGAAATCAATTAAAAAATAAAATATAAATGTAAAAAGAGAGGGAGTGTAGTCTTCCCAGTTCCCTTCCTGAAGTGGCTGACGTGTGCTCAGCATCCAGGGCCTGTGTCATGCTGGCCGCCCTGCCTTCGTGGCTCTCCTGGACACCGCCCTCCTGGCATGCGAGGCACTTCTGGGCTCAGGCTGGATAATCCTGCGGCTCCTGGCCCCCGTGTGCCTGTTCAAAGCCTGGTATCCTTACAAAGCTTCCTTACAAAGCTCTCATGGAGCCAGTTATTGGCTGTCTTATAAAGTCCTTACTGTGGGTTGATAGCATAATCGCTTTCCTGTTCCTTGCTATGTCCACATTCTGTTCATTGTGGAATTGCTGCCACTGAACTGGTTACCATGCACTGAGGACCTAATGTCCAGATGAGTGAGGGAGGGGCCAGGCTTGCAGACTTTTTTTTCATTGGGTGCCTGCCTTGTTCAGCTCTGTGCCAGCAAGTATTTATTGAGTCCCTACTAGGTGCTGGGCGCTGTGCCAGGTGTTAGGAGCAGGTAATTGAGATGTGGCCACGTCTTCAAGACCTCAGCATCTGTCCTGATGAAACCTTGGCTCCCCTTCCCCTCAGCAGGTCTTGAAAGCAGCGTGACTCCGGGTATCAGGTAGGGGGCCTGGCAGTGCCAGTGCTTCCTGTGAGACTGGCCGACCAGGGTCAGAACTGGAAAGCCATTCTGCTCCTCCCCTTCTCAACAACCTAGGCCAGTCTTTGTAACCCAATCTTGGACGTGTCATCCCATCACTTTTTGCCGTATTCTTGGTCCAGCCCATACCAAGGGTGTGAATCCCATAGCCCTGAGGGCTACCATAGCGGCTCCCCCCACTAGATAATTACATTTTCTGTTTTGGGGTGTGTGTTATATCTACTTCAGAGACTGATGATGGGCAAGGTTTCATGAAGCATAGCCCGCACTTAATTTGCCTGGTGACTCAGCAGATTTGTACAAGTTGGGCTCACCTCCATGTCTTACATCTGAACAGGTGGAGTTCTTTGAGCCCTTTTGGGACAGCGGAGAGCCCCGGGCTGGGGAGAAGGGCGCCCGAGGCTGGAGAGCGTGGATGCACCAGCAGGAGCGGGGCGGCTGGGTGGTCATCAACCCAGGTAAGGCCCTCGCAGCACGCGTGTGAGTTTTCCTTCTGGAACTTGTTTGTACGTCATCATGATTAGTTGTAGAAGCCATTAGCAATAGCTTAGGAACATTATACAAATATCAGTGTCAAAAGTACATTAGGTAGATGTCCCGGGAGCATAGACTGTTTTCCTCTTGCAGTGCTTCTCAACCTTCTGGCCCTTTAAATACAGTTCCTCATGTTGTGACCCAACCATAAAATTATTTTCGTTGCTACTTCATAACTGTAACGTTGCTACTGTTGTGAATCGTAATGTAAATATCTGATAGGCAGGATGGTCTTAGGTGACCCCTGTGAAAGGGTCGTTCGTCCGCCAAAGGGGTTGCGACCCACAGGTTGAGAACCGCTGCCTTAGAGCCTTTGAAGCAGGTGACCCCTCTCTGCATCACGCTTGCAGGTTTTGAGTTCTCTCAGGGGAAATGCTTCATTTTTCCTTTTCAGGCTCCTGAAGACCTGATCTTGTTGCTAATCCCCACCCCCATTTCGGTGTGTATTTAAGACGGTCTTTTTGTTTTCTGGGCAGTGTCCAGATCATTTGAAAATACATGCCTTTTAAGGAATACTATAAAATAATTATTAACTAGCACTTCTATAAATGTCATTCTAAATGACCCAAAGTACTTTCCAGAGTTACCCTCTAAAACAGCCCTGACCAGTAGAAATATAACTCAAGCACATGTGTAACTTCACATTCGCTAGTAGCCACCTAAAACAAGCAAACAGAAAAGAGGGGCAATTAATTCTGATAACGTGTTTTGTCTAACTAGTAGTAAAAACATTAATGTGTCAACATTTAATCAACATTAAGAAACTAATGAGGTATTTTGCATATTTCCCCATACGAACTCTTTGAAATCTGGTGTGTATTTTCTCTTTATAGCACATCTCAGTTCAGACCGGCCACTTTCTGGGGCTTGATAGCCACATATTAACGCTACCGTTTTGGCCAGTGCAGCTCTTAGCTATTCGGGAATTGCTTCACTCACCTGGTTTCATTGCATGTGTGAGGGAGAAAGCGGTGGATGGGCGCTCACCAGGCTCGGCCAGCCTCTTTTCACAGGTGTCACCTTCCAGCGTTCATCTGAGAAATGAAAACTTGGGATTGGCTGTGATCTGCCTGGCAGTGCAGAGCTGCAGGCCAGGTGGCATGTCTGTCACCTCTTAGGCGGGGCCCTTCAGGTGTCTGGGGTAACTTTGCCAGCACTTGTTTTCTGTGTAACTTTGAAGGTTGTTTTTTTTCCCCCCACTTAGCATAGTTCCCCTGAGATTCAGCCAAATTGTTGTGTGTGTCAATAGTTCATTCATGTTTATTGCCCAGTAGTGTTCCATGACATAGCTGTACCAGTTTGTGTATGTTGTCTCCAGTTTGGGGCTGTTGTGAATAAAGCTTTGCTGTGGGCATTAGTGGGTAGGGTTTTGTGTGAACATAGGTTTCCATTTTTCTGGCATCAGCACCTAAAAGTGCAATTGCTGGGCCTTATGGTGAGTGCATGTTTAATTTTATAAGAAACTGCCAAACTTCTCCAAGTGGCGGTACCATTTTACATGCCGTTTGTTTCTGTTTGAATGTGGAACTTTGCAGGTGATTCAGACTCTTGTCCTCTTCCATTCTGCATGCTCAGAGTCAGGAAACAGTGAATTAGAGGCGATCACTGAAGGGTAAAGGCTATCACTGAAGGATGTCTTGAATTGACATTTTTTGAAAGACGTGAACATAAGTCATAATCGTAAGGTCACTGGCTAAAAATTCTGATGGCTTAAGAAAATCTAAACCAATGTTGTCATTAAATGTCACTTAGCACTCTAGAATGGTGTCCAGTAGCAGCCACTGGCCACGTGTGGCTATTTTAATTAAAGTTAATTAAAATGGAATAAAATTAAAAACTCATTTCTTCTACCAGCTACATTTCAAGTGCCCTGTGGTGGTGGCTGCTCTGTCAGCACAGATATGGAACGTTTGATCGCCACAGAGAGTTGTGTTGGTCAGTGCTGTTCTAGAATGTGTGTCCTCATTTTCATTGGTGTGATAGCGTTAAAAATCATTTGATTTCAGCAGCTGACCTACCGCTGTTGGGGGGACCTTGATTGTGATTACAGGAGAGCCCATCGGTAAAGGCCACTGAGCCTTCCAGAGGCTGGGCCTAGGTAGCTCTTACCCATCTTGGCATTCCAGGGGCCACCACAGTGGCTGGCATGCAGGTTGATTGGGTGTTGATGGTGATGGTTTTATTTGCTGGTTAGTGAGCTGGAAGTTTTGTTCTTGCCTAGATGATGATGATGATGAACCAGAAGAGGATGACCAGGACATCAGAGATAAGACCCTGCCCAGGTGGCAGATCTGGCTTGCTGCTGAGCGGTCCCGAGACCAGAGGCACTGGCGGCCGTGGCGCCCTGATAAGACCAAGAAGCAAACCGAGGAAGACTGTGAGGATCCAGAGAGACAGGCAAGTACCCCACCCCAGGAGGGACGCCAGCCATGGGGTCTTTGCCTTCTCCCCATTCCCATTGGGTTTGGTGCCCAAAGAAGGTGTTGGGCTCTCAGAGCACTTGCCTGGCTTAGGAGATGCTAGCCTGGCTCTTGTTCTTGTCTGGAAACTTCCCTCTCACTGAAAACCAGGGTAGAATTTCATTGGCTGCTAGTGATGTGGGAGCTGAGCGGCACTTGACCAGGTAGTTCCTGCCCCTGAATAGGAGCGGTGGTCTTCCAGGTTGTTCAGTTACTTTTTCACATGGAAGTTGGAGGGCTCAGGGTTTAAAAACACAGAATCCCTGTCCTGGATTCTTTAACTGTGTCCACTTTCCCCGCCCTCCTTGTATCTTCAGAAACATGGCCGATAGGTTTGACTCCAGAAGACAAGGGGGACTGGATGTAAGGCCGTTAGGGGACAGTCGGCGTACAGCTAGTCTTACTGGAGAGGGAACCAGCAGTCAGCCTGCTGTGTGCCAGGCGTTTAACTCACGTTGGCTCTGTTACCGCCGTTGCCGTGAGACTCGGTACATGCTGCTCTGCCTCGTGGCCGCAGCTCTGGGAGCTTTCCTTTAAAATAAAGGAAAAGATTCTCTTTTGATACCTGGAATTGACCCAGTTTCACAAGATACATGTTATATTGCTTGGAATAAAATATAATAAGTATATGTTATATAACATGGTAGTATGGACTCAGAGTAGGGAGGCTTGTCAGTTTTGGAATGGTTTGTTGTCTGTGACCCTCCCTACCTGTTACATGCCTCGAGGGTGGAGCTGTTTGCCTGTTTTCTTCACTGCTGAACCCTCAGTGCTCTGTGAGGGGGCTGCCATGAGGCGAGTGTGCACGTGAGCTCCCTCTCCTGGCTGTAGCTGGAAGGTTCAGGGAGGACTGGGGTCTTTCTGTGGTGGTTGAGGGTTTTGCATTACCCTTCCAGCGTCAGTTCTCAAGGCTCAAAATCTGGGCAGTTTCCTGGAAGCTCATTTCTGGAGCACACCACTGCTGCCGGCAGTTTCTTGTCACTTAGCTTTCTCAACTCCAAGCCTGGAGATTTCTGATTGACTGATGGTTTTGATTAGTTGACTCCAGGTAGTCCTTTGCTCAGAGCCACAAAGACCACTCAGATGTGCAGGACCTTGGAACAAAGGGTAGTCTCCGTGGCCTTACATTTTAAAGTTTTACCTGAAGTCAGCCACGAACACTCACTGTTGGTATTAGGCTCTTAAAACTGCTCTCAACACAGTCCTTGCTCCTGTAGTTTCCTTCTTCCCTTACCTTCCTGCTGTTTATCTATTTTTAGCATATTTTTCATTTCCTGAAGCAATTTTGTACCAGAAAAACACAGAACAATAAAGTTATTCTTCTATCTTAAAAAAAATTTACACTTGTGACTACAAAGCAATTATGTGTCCTTTCAGAAGTGAATCATTCTAGATTTTCTATGAATCCAACAGGATATTTTGAAAATTTTTGGCTCCAGCCTGCTCATGGGCCTCCCTCCTTCTGAGAATCTCAGGAGTGTGGGAGCCCTACCAGCATTGCTAACTTCTCCTGCAGCACTCTGGGTTGTCTTGAGAGGCCTCCAGCTTTTTTGCATCTTGCAGAAAATCTAGCTCCTACCTGTTTAAAATTGTATGATGTTGAATCATTATACAATCATGTGAAGAGAATAGTGGGAGAATTGTGATGGTTTTTCTGTTTATTACAATAAATAAATAAACAAACAAACCGAGCTCCTGAACAGGTCCCTTTGTCTTTATTGCAGGTGCTGTTTGATGATATTGGACAATCTCTAATCCGACTTTCCAGCCAAGCTCTTCAGTTCCAGCTGATTGTGGCCTTTCTGCAGTTCTTGGGTGTGCCTGCTGGCTTCAGCCCTCCAGCCTCCTGCCTCTACCTGGCCATGGATGAGAACAGCATCTTTGATAACGGACTTTATGACGAACAGCCATTGACTGTTCTCAACCTTTCATTTTCTGGCATCAGCTGTGTTGGTCGCACGGACCAGTTGGGCTGCCGGCGCTGGACCAGGGGTCACAGCCGAGAGGGCGAGGAGTTCATCCGCAACATCTTCCACCTGGTGATGCCTTTGTTTTCCGGCAGGGAGAGGTCCCAGCTCTGCTCCTCCTGGCTACGGTACGAGATCGCAAAGGTAACTCTGGCCCCTCCACCCTGCGTGGGGACTTCCTTTTGTGTCTATTTATAAAGGCTCTTGGTGTTCTTCAGGGTCTGGGGCCACAGCACCTCCTTCGGGGACCCTAACGGCACCTGGTGTGTGGCTGCCCTTTCAGAGGGGCCGCAGCGAAGAGGAACGCAGGAGTGACTGGGCTATTTGTATTGATTCTTGTGTCACCAGATGCCTGTGATTATGTGAGCTCTTAGTGTTAAGAACCAAGCTTAAGCTTAAGCAGGGTTAGAGGATTTAGGGGCTTATTAAAATAGATAAAATAAGCTACTTACTCTGCTCTCTTATCTATGTATCTGCTAGAAATTTGTCTAGAATACTCTTCTGCCCTCTGCTGGCCAAAGTTAGTATAGAATCTTAACCCCCAGTGACATTTTAACTACAGATTGTACACACTAGGTTGTATTATCTCTATATATAAAAGGCTAAGTGTCCTCCCGGCCGGTTGCTATGACACGCACTGACCACCAGAGGACAGACAACGCAGGAGCTGCCATGATGCACACTGGCCATTTAAAAATAAACGGCACCATGGACCTGGAGCCCACAAAGCAACACTCGGCCTCCCCCAAATGGGACACAGGCCCCGCCACCACCCCGGAGCGACACCCCACCAAATCGCAGCCAACGCTGCCAAGACCCCATGGCGCAAAATGCGGCCCACAGCCCAGCCCAGAAATGGTCTCTGTGGGCGCCAGGTAATGACGTCACATAGCAACACCCAGCTTCTTCTCCCTCGTGACTAGCCTCCTTGGAGTTTCTTTAGCCCAGGAACATGACTTGTTTTATAGCCAGGTGCAAACATTTTGCACTTTAACCAAATGTTTGTGAAGCGTTGTCCTGTGTCTCATCTCATTTGATCCTCACAGAAGTCCTAGAGTAGGTAGATAGGAGACTCGGTGGAATCTTATTTTCTTTTCATTAGCCAGAAAACGGAGATTTAGAAAGCTTAGAAACTTGACCTGACTGAAAAGAAGAAAGAAATGGTGGACCTTGAAAATGACTTGTTTTTCTCACTGCACAGAATGTAGTCAAACACTGCTGCAGTTAAATATTTTACCCTTTGTTCTTCCTGCATGATCTACAATAATAATGTTTTGTGTTGATATTTACTGCTGTGTTGCTGACAATTACCTGAAAGAAAAGTTGGGGTGCTTCACTGGGCTGGAAAAAGTTTAGCTACATCAGAAAGCTGGTCTAATTAAGCAAGTTTATCTATATATATAAAAGGTTAAGTTGACGCATGCATGTGCGATACATATAAAGTTCTTGCTGGCGCCAATCACACGTGTGTGTTTCGATCTGTCATTGTCAGTCTTGAATTTGGTTGACACTTCTATTGTAGAGAAAGGGCGAATAGCAATATTAAAGTATTTCTTCTAATTAATTTCCTTTCAATGTGCACAAATCTGTGCACCAATTAAAGTATAAAATTGGGAGGCTGCCTCTTTGGAGAGGAACATTTAGGGTATGTGAGCCTTGTTTATAGCGGTTTCAGATGGAAACCAGGATGTTTCATATTGGGGTTCCTGTGGCATTAGTAAAAAATCCTGATTTGTGCCTTGGCTAGTGTGCTCAGTGGTTAGAGCATCAGGCCACGCTCCAAAAGGTCATGGGTTTGATTTCCAGTCAATAGCATGTACCTGGTTTGCAGGTTCGATCCCGGCCCCAGTCGGGGCGTGTGTGGTAGGCAACCAATTGATGTCTCACATCTATGCCTCTCTCTCTCTCTTTCTCCCCCCACCCTCTTTCCCTTCCACTCCCTCTAAAAATCAATAGAGGGGAAAAAATCCTGATTTGTTTCCCAGCTTAGAGAGCCTAAGTGTTCACCAAACATGTGGTGAAGGAAGAAAGTGTAGACGCCTCCTGTGGCTTTCTCAGGCTGGCAATACCCCGGGCTTGTTTAACATCATAGAGCACGTGGAGTTATTCTTTCCTTTTTACCTCTAGGTCATTTGGTGTCTGCACACTAAAAACAAGAAGAGGTTAAAATCACGAGGAAAGAACTGCAAAAAACTAGCCAAGAATCTCCTTAAGGAGCCAGAAAACTGCAACAATTTTTGCCTCTGGAAGCAGTATGCACATCTGGAATGGTTGCTTGGCAACACAGAGGACGCCAGAAAAGTTTTCGATACAGCGCTCAGCACGGCAGGGAGCGGGGAGCTGAAGGACCCTGAGGTCTGTGAGCTCAGTCTGCTCTATGCTGAGCTGGAGCTGGAGCTGGCGCCAGACACCAGAGTGGCCACCGCGGCCCGAGCTGTTCACATATTAACCAGGCTGGCTGAGAGCAGTCCCTATGGGCCCTACACTGGGCAAGTCCTGGCCATTCACATTTTGAAAGCTCGGAAGGCTTACGAACACGCACTGCAGGACTGTTTGTGTGAGGGCCGCGTCTCCGATCCCGCTGCCACTGCCTCCCTTAACCGCCTAGTTAGTGTGGTTAAATGCTTTATGCTCTTCCAGTATTTGACCATAGGGATCGATGCCGCTGTGCAGATATACGAGCAGGTATTTGCAAAACTGAAGGGCTCTCTTTCCCCAGAGGGCCCAGGCCTGGAGGCCAGTGCCTGCCCCCCAAGTGTGAGCAGTGTCCTCGAGGCTGTCACACTGATGCACACGAGCCTGCTCAGGTTCCACATGAAAGTCAGCGTGTACCCTCTGGCTCCTCTGCGGCAGGCGCTCTCAGAGGCTTTAAAGTTGTATCCGGGCAACCAGGTTCTTTGGAGGTCCTACGTTCAGCTTCAGAGCAAGTCCCACAGCGCCAGCAAGACCAGGAGATTCTTCGGTGCCATCACCAGGTCTTCGGAACCCTTGGAGCCTTGGCTGTTTGCCATTGAAGCTGAGAAAATGAGGAAAAGACTGGTGGAGACCGTGCAGAGGTAATCACGTTCATCTTGTTCATGTGTCCACACCTTTATGGATCGTGTGCGTGTCCCCTGCCCTCTGAGCCTCAGGGCACAGAAATGAACACGGCCAGTGCTTGGCATACTGGGGTGGGTTTAGGGCAGTGATGGCGAACCTATGACACGCGTGTCAGAGGTGACACACGAACTCATTTTTTTGGTTGATTTTTCTTTGTTAAATGGCATTTAAATATATAAAATAAATATCAATAAGTCTTTGTTTTACTATGGTTGCAAATATCAAAAAATTTCTATATGTGACATGGCACCAGAGTTAAGTTAGGGTTTTTCAAAATGCTGACATGCCGAGCTCAAAAGGTTCGCCATCACTGGTTTAGGGTTTATAGAAGAGACTGCAAAGAGCAGCATCCCGCAGGTGAGGCTTCTGTGGCCGGCTTCCTGGCCATTCCTTCTGGGACCCTGAACCTTGCTGATGGTGGTGGGTGGGGATGGTCAGGCCTCCAGTGTCTGAGACGCTGTGGGGAAAGCATGTGGGTAAGAGCCAGGCCTGGAGTTGGACTCTGGGTGCAAACCCCAGCTCTTCCATTCACCAGCTGTGTGACCTTGGACAGGCCACTTCGCCTCTCTGACAGGTTCCCGAGAAGCAAGGACGTGGTGTGTGACTTCTAGTCAGACTCGTGGTGGAGAAACCACGGAACCCTGGGCGCTGCCTTCCTCTGGCTTTGGAGGAGCGCATCCCATCTGTACTCCGCACCCCCAGCACCCCCAGCGCTGAGGGACAGCCCTGCCTCGGACAGGCTGTGAGCTGCTGCTGACCTTCGTTGTCACGAACACATGCATCTCTGCCTCTGTGCCTCTTGTGATGTCAGTGAGAGAACTTGTGCGGGGTTTCATGAGCCTTTGTCTTGCAGGGTAGATGGCAGGGAGGTCTACGCCACAATTCCTGAGACCGGCTTGACGCACCGGATCAGAGCCCTGTTTGAAAACGCGATCCGGAGTGAGCACGGCAGCCAGTGCCCCTTACTGTGGAGGATGTACTTGAGTTTTTTGGTAAGAAAGTACTTGGAGTTTTTGTTTTTTACGCAGGAAGTGCAGGTGTCCAGGGGCCCCGCGCGGGAAAGCTGGAGGCGCTTCCTTGTCCCTCGCCCTTGGACGGGGATAATGTCAGGGCTCCCGGGAGTTGCATGTAGCAGTTTTACTCGAGGTATTTGGTGGGAGGACAGGGAGGAGTAGTTGCTGGGCGTTTTGGTGTGAGGCTTCGTCAGTATTTAGGGACTGTTGTTGGCGGCCTCGGAGACTTTTACGTGGAGACCATACCTGCAGCTCTGCCCCTTTGGCAGCTGTGACTTCAGTCCCGTGCCTGGTCCCGGTTAGTGCCCCGAGACGTTCCCAGGTGCCCGAGGAGACACACTTTCACCATCACAGCCCCGCGGGGTCACAGGGTGCATGGGCGTCACCCACTGGTTAGATTTCAGCCCTGACGTAGGAACTGTACAAGGGTCAGGGTTTAAGATGAGGAAATTTAGAAGGTGGGCGCTGTAGTGAGAGGGAGCAGTTACATCCAAGGCCGTTGTAGAATAGGGAATTCCGAACAGAGAAAACCAGTGGTCTCACAGGCTTTCCCCTGGCCGAGACCCTCTGTACAGTCCAGCGGAAGTGTCTGTGGCCGGTTGACAATCGCAGAGAGCGGGTCCCCTGGAGGCCAGCCGGCTCATAGAAGCACCTGGCTTGCGGTGCAGGACCTCTGAGTCTCACAGACACGGTGGGTGAGAACTTGCTGTAGTAAACCTTCTTCCAAAAACGAGGGGAAAACATCTCAAGTTTAGTCAGTATTTTTGGAGAGGACATTGGAGTTCTTGGTTGAGTGAAGGAGGGACCGCTCACACTGGCCCTGGCGTGCGATGCAGAGGTCTAGCCCCAGAACAGCCGATGCTCATGCCAGGGGGGAAGCAGGAGTGTTCAGCCAGGGGCTCTGTGGGGGGACATGGGGAGGCTTGAACCTTTTATCACAGATGCTGGGTACAGCCCAAAGGTACAGTCTTGGTGATGGTGGGCGTTAACCTGAAAACATGGAAGAGGAAGTGAGCGGGCCTTGGGGGGCAGAGCTCCCGAGGCACAGATCGGAGTCTCTAGATGCCATTGCCAGGGTTTCCGGGAGGTTGGTCAGCAAGCCTCATGGATCCATGCTGGACGCCAAGCACCAGCCACTTGGCAGAGACCTGGCGTCCCCTAGAAGGTTCTGGGAATGAGTCTGGAGGAGGTGGGTGGGTGGGTGCAAAGTCCAGAAACACTTAAGCTCCATGAGGGACGTGGGGGGCCCCCGGGGGGTGCCGCCTGCAGCTCCGGCTCCCACTGGGCGTGGAGAGAGAGGGCGTGTCTGAGTCGAGACTAAGGATGTTATGCTTGGAGAGACCTGCTGAATGTCTGCACCTTCTCGGACTGAAATGCCTGCCTGAAGTTTCCGTTCAGTGTTAGCCATTCAGCAGTCCTGGCTCTTTTCTCTGAGAGAGTTTTCAGAAAACGGCATGTGTTAAAGCAGAGGTCTTCTCTGTGTAAAGCCATCAGCCTCACCACACACAGGGCCTCGGGTCCCAGGCACTGTTAGGAATAAAAGGCTGCGGGCCCACAGGGAGGAGATGCAGGCCAGACAGAAGTGTGAATGGTCGGTCAGCACTCCAGGCCTGTTGGTGGAGGAATGGACCCCACACAGCAGAGGCCCCGATCGCTAGCGTCCCCTGGTACGTAGACCCCACGGCTGGCTGCAGCTGAGGACCGGCGTGGGTCAGTGCAGGGGTGGTGTCTGTAGCCTGTCTACCTGCTTCAATTCATTTTTGTGTCCCCCTTCTTCCACCCCAGGTTTCGTTAGGAAATAAGGACAGAAGCAAGGGCGTGTTCTACAAAGCGCTTCAGAGTTGTCCTTGGGCAAAGGTAAGTTCTAAAGGGCATGGTATCTCCTGACATCTGAGGACCTTCCTGCCCCGTCAGTCCCCCGTGTCCGCCTGCCTGTCCCTGTCAGGGAGACGGGGCCCATCCAGGCCCCTCGGGGAACTGCCCTGTGCAGCCTGAGCCAGTGGGCACGCTTCCAGTCTCTGCATGGAGCGGGGTTCAGGGTGTTGCTGTGGGTTTCCCGGCGTTTGCCCAGAGGCTGCAGGCGTTGGGGTCTATGGCCCGTCTGCCCTGCAGAGTCCGGTCAGACACTGAGAAACCTGTGTGCCAACTGGACCCACCTGGAGTTGACTCCCTTTCACTGCCCCGAGGTCAGTGTCCTCTGAGGTGCTGCCGGAGTCAGGACAGCGAGGGGCTGCGGGCTGTGGAGGGGCGAAGGGCAGGCCTGCTGGGACGGAGTAGCTGGTGACCAGGCGGTGGCTCTCCTTCCTAGGCGCTGTACATGGACGCCGTGGAGTACTTCCCCGATGAGATGCAGGAGATCCTGGACCTGATGACCGAGAAGGAGCTCCGAGTGCGCCTGCCCCTGGAGGAGCTGGAGCTGTTGCTGGAGGACTAGAGACCGGGGATGGGCCACGCCTCAGGGCATGTCCCTGCCCTGGGAGCCGGGGGAGCACGAGGTGGGATCAGGTGTGCGAGCATGCGTGCCAGCAGACCCGTTTTTAAAGTTTTCTAGATAATTTATATCTAGTTCATCAGTCTCGTCTCTTGCACATTTTTTTGGATGTGCCAGTGACACAGAAGCCCTCGTTTTACATATTATAGATGCGCATCTTGTGTTTACATGTACATAGACAAGAACAGGGCAGTGGTAACCAAACCTACTGTGGTTGGCGTGTTTCCTCCTCTGCCTCGCCAGTGCACGGGTGAATGACCCGCTCAGTTGGCACCCATGGTCCTTGCCAAGTCTTGGGTTTCGCAGTCGTGATTAGAAAGGTCTGGTTACTCAACACCTGGACCTCCTCCCCCAGGGCTGGTTAGTAGAGCAGAGTCATTAAAACTTGGCCTGTATCAGGTGTGTTTAGAAAAGTGTTATTCCCTCAGCTTCCTGGTGATGCCTCCGCCGTGGACCAGCCTGTTAGAGATGTAGGCCCAGGCTCGCACCAGCTCTGCCGAGTCAGCATCTGCTCAGACAGGACCCCCGGGGACTCGTGTGCAGTGGGGAAAGCACAGCCCGAGGAGACAAGGAGCCCTGCTGAGGGGGCAGCACTGTCCCCAGCTCCTTCCACCAGACCCACCCCTGCCCGTGAGGCGTGCGGAGGTCCGCATCCTGAGCTGTGCACCAGGGCTGCTGAGGTGGAGGGGTTTTGTGAGGGCTGTCCAGTTGCTTTGGCTTTTTAAAGTCACGGTCTCTAGAATCGAAGAAGAAACATTTCTTTGGCAACTTATCCAGGAAAGCCAGTGTGTGGAATAGAACTCTGGCTACAGACGTGGACATTAGGTTGGGAAAAGGGGAGGGCAGTGTCTCAGAGCCCACGAGGATGTTGGCCAGCCAGATACTTGCTGCCCCACTTACTGGCTTTAAGACTAAACAGTTGCAAGGAAGAGAAGTGCAGGGTTTACATGGAGAAAAGGGGAGAAGCTGACACTTTTAGATGCTCTTGAGAAGGATGGTTTCTGAACCCAGGGACGAGGCAGGCAGGGCTGGTATGAGCTTCATCCCTGACCTTCCCAGATTTCTCTTATCAGCACCAATGCTGCCCAAGTGCCGGAAACCCACAGCCACAGGAACGCAGCCTTTGTTGCTGGAGCGTCAGCGATGGCTGGCACGTGGCTATGGGGTCACGTCTTCCCCACTGGCTGCGCAGCCACCACCCGCTCTGGGGCGTGATGTGAGGGCAGCAGGTATTGAAGGCTGCACTCTGATCGCCCAGAACAGAAGCTTCCCTGACACCCAATCCACCTGCCGAGCAGCGGGTGTGGATGCTCCAGACACAGGAGGACCGGCTTGAGAAAGAACTCGCTTTATTGGGAATGGAGCGCTGCACGTCGGGCTCCTGCAGGCGGTGCTCAGAGAGGTACACAGGGCACATAATGAAGAGCAACTGCAACGGGGTCCTCTGGGCAACTCCCCACCTCCTCCCTCCCCAGGGTCGGCACCCCTGACCACTTCCTTGAAGGCAACTGAGGTTCCCTAGAGATAGAGCCCCTCAGGGGTGCCTTCTTGTTTTTTATACAGAACATTTTCTTTCGATTTTTTGAAGTCTTCATTTGTGACTTTCATTCTACGTTCTCTCAAGGCCATGAGACCAGCTTCTGTACAGATTGCCTGTAAGAAAGAACGGTATGTTCAGAAAGTGAAATACTTTTTATTTTTATTCTAACAATTCAGAGAGCTATTTGGAAATAAGGTGGAAGACACTTGTTTTAAACACAAATTATTCTAGATTTATTTGGGAAAAGATTAGATTTTTAAAATGCGTTAAGCGTTGTAATTGTTTTCTCAAAGGACACGAGGCGGCTTAGACTGGAGTAACTAAGGAAGAGGACTGGCCAGGAAGGCAGGCTCCGGGTCTGTGCTGGCTCAGGTGCTAACCAGCTGTGTGGCCTGGCAGGTCAGTGAGTTCTCACAGCCCCACTTTAAAGGGAGAAATATTTCTCAGTAATAGATGATTTATACACGGAAATTTAGAGGTAACAGTGTGTGACCATTTCATTTACCAACAGGCATAAGAGAACATTTAGTAGAATGAATACATAATATTCACTTTAATATATTTACTTTTTTAATAATCACCTGTTACAAAACAGGATATAAACAATGAAATGATATAAACAATCCTAGCATTGAAGTTCCTATTTGGTTAAGGTTCAGCAGAAAAAACGTGTGCATAGAAAGATAAAGCAAACGGGTAAAATGGCAACATTTGGTAAATCGAAGTAATGGTATGTATGGGTGTTTACTAGTTGCAACTGTTATGAAGGCTTAAAATATTTCAAAGTAAAAAAGTTGGTGCAAAATCAAATTTCTGTTTTAAGAAGAGAGATTTTACTTCCCAACCAAGACACTAATGTAGTCTTAGAGATCCAAGGATATACAGCACAGGCAGCAGCATGAAAGGCCATGTCTGCATCCCACCCTACCTAATCTAACAAACCGGATCTTCCCATAAAGAGCAGGATGCAGCATATTCAGTGCTGCCAGGCCTTGTTCTAAATCCTGGTCACCTGGGAAGAACCATCCTAACTCATAAAGGGATGTGATCAAACAAGAGTCCAGCCAGCGCAGTTCTCACCTTGATGTCAGCACCAGAGAGGTCGTCCTTAGCCATGATCAAGTCGTCCAGTGTCACGTCATCAGCCAGCGTCATTCTGCTTGTGTGGATCTGAAAGATGCGCTTCTTGGTCTTTTCATCGGGCAGGGGGAACTCGATCTTCCTGTCGATGCGGCCTGTAAGTACAGAGGCTTCAGTCGCAGCTCTGTGCAGCCCCGGCTGTGCTGCGCCTGTCTCCTCATGTGCAGTTTCAGTGTCCTCTGGAAGGGGTCCAAATCTTAAAAGGTGAACACTCACCTTCCTAGTTTGTAAGTTTCTATGTTTGAATTCACTTATGTTCTCTGCTACCTCCAGAAACAAATGAAAGGAATGGTTCCTGAATGGCACATTTAGTGCAAAAGGACAGATCAGTCCGGTTAAAAAAATTATGAAGAGAGTAAAGAAATTAGCTACCACTGCTTTCACTGCTAAATGAATGCAAAAACTGAGCCTAAACTATTATATGAATTACTTCTTCATTTCTTCAGGAAAAAAGTCCTTGAGGCTTAAAAGGGAGTACCCGGGAAAGAAAAGATCACATAACATTGGAATTCAAAAAGCCACACTGCACAGACTATATCATGCTTTTGTCTATAACCTCAAGGTTACTCTAAATTTCAGTGCAATGTTGCCTTTACATGTATCATTTTATAATCTCATAAGCTCCCCGAACTACATGTAAGAAGCACAAATACACAGACAGCTATTCTCCATGATGAGGCAAAAGCAAATGTGACCTGGTCTGATCAGTGCTGGGTCCAGAGTTTCTATTCGGTTTGTGGCCATAATGACTTTCACGTCTCCCCTTGAATCAAATCCATCCAACTGGTTCAACAGTTCCAACATTGTTCGCTGAATTTCTCTCTCACCACCGGAATTTGAGTCATATCTTTGGAAAAAAAGGAGAAGGAATGAAGACCCAACTGATCTGCTAACGGGAAATTACAGCAAAAAACCCAACCCAACAGCCAGGTTACACAGCTCATTATTTTCTTTGTAGCAGTTTTCATTGCCAAAGTTTTCTCTCCCGGTTTGGTGTCCCCCAACCTGCTGAGTGCTCCCTGAGGCCAGAGGCTTGTTTTCATGGCTGTGTCCCCAGAGTCTAGACGGAGCCTGGCTCAGAGCAGATGCTCAGGGTGTGGTTACTGACCGACCAATCTTCAGGTTCACAACCACCCAGTAGGTGGAAGAGCAGAGCCTACAGCATCAGGGAAAACCAGAGTAGGAACTGTGGCAAACAGAGGCCACAGGGAGTGCTCAATGACCACTCCGAGAAGAGCTACAAGGTTTTTCCCTCTAAAGCAGTTCTCAACCTGTGGATCGCGACCCCTTTGGCAGTCGAATGACCCTTTCACAGGGGTCGCCTAAGACCATCCTGCATATGATATTTACATTACGATTCATAACAGTAGCAACGTTACAGTTATAAAGTAGCAACGAAAATAATTTTATGGTTGGGTCACAACATGAGGAACTGTATTTAAAGGGCCAGAAGGTTGAGAACTACTGCTCTAAAGGATACAAAACAGGTAAAAGAAAGTCTACCTTTTTGTCCCAATGGCATCAATTTCATCAATAAACACAATGGATGGTGCATGTTCTTCAGCAACTCGAAACAATTCCCGAACGAGCTTGGGCCCGTCGCCCAGGTACTTCTGAATAAGTTCAGAGCCAACCACTCTCAAGAAAGTGGCTGAGGTTTGGTTTGCTACTGCTTTAGCCAGTAAGGTTTTACCTATTTTAGATTAGAAAGACAAAGGGAAAAAATCCTCAGACTCTGTCATTACCATCTTAAGTGGATATTAAAAATGGACAGATTCCTATGATGAAAAGGCGTGCCACCCTCTTGGGTACATGATTTTAAGTCAATCAAATAACCTTCCTCCTTTGTAATTTACATAGCAATGAAATGCTAAGTCCTGGACTGCACAATTCACACAGGTCAATTACATATATACTAGAGGCCCGGTGCACGATGGGGGCCGGGGAAGGGACCACGGGAGGCTGGCTCCAGGGTGTGTACCGCCAGTCTCGGCCAGTCGCTGGCCGGCGGGACCCCAGCAGCAAGCTCACCTACAGGTCAGAGCATCTGCCCCCGGTGGTCAGTGTGCATCATAGCGACTGGTCAAACGAACGGTCGGACACAGCATATCAGGCGTTTATTATATAGGATTTTTTTTTTTTAACCTTCATGCATTTATTCACCCAATATGAATATTCAGTGCCAGTGGGCCAGGAGAATGAACCTAATCTGAACAGCACAGGGTAGGTTTTAAATCATGACTCTCCGCTGTGGCTCTGGTGCATGATCACACTCCAGACGACACATCGGAATCTTCAGGGAGGGGCCCAGACAACCAGTGTTTCTAAAGTTCCCAAGGTGATGCCAATGCACAGCCAAGGTGAAGCACCCTCTTTTATTGAGCTCTTCTTACAAACTAGTTCCAATAGACTCACACTGCTTTTACAAATATTTGAAGGCATTATATTTTACAGCATATACTTCTACTGTGTTTGAGTATAGGAGTTTTGGGGAACTGTTCCTAATATTGTTTTTTTTTTTAACACACTGACTCTGTGCAGTCTACAATTTCAAGTCCTAAGTTCAGTTTCTTCGTGCATCTATTATACAGATAAATACACTTTTTTATGTAATAGGTATTTTTCCAGAGAAGCTGCTTATTCCAAAATTGCAAAATATTGCTTAGAACACCGTTTTAAACTAAGGACTGTGTAACTAACGCTGCTGCTCAAGTTGAGCTGAGTGCCTGGAAGTGTCACACCCACAGCACACATACCTGTGCCCGGTGGCCCATAGAGAATGACCCCCTTAGGGGGCTTTATACCCATCTCTTCGTAATACTCAGGGTGAGTGAGAGGAAGTTCCACAGATTCCTACAGGAAACAAACACTACGTAAAAGTGAAAAGCTTTTTTACTGAAATCACCACCACAGTCATGAACTGGCATCACAAGCATGTCTCACTTGCAACAAAAAATAAGCTAAAATTTCAATTACTCTTGTTGGAGACAACGTGCTTGACGTCACTAGTAGCAAGGACACAGTGAAGAAGACACCCACCCCCTCTCTTCCTAATGGCACCCCATTTCCCCTTCCCTTCTTTGTAGAAGTCAGCCTTGAATAACATCTAAAACTTCCTCAGCAAATGAAACTTAAAAATTCACAGACAGGAACTGGCAAGGCTTTCTGATTGCTGTTACCACCAGTGAGATCTGTGAGAGCTCTGAGGGACTTCTCTTCAGATGAAAGAACCTGCCAAGGACTGGCCCACAGCCATCCCGGGTGATCCCTCCCCGAACCCCAGGCCCAGGGCAGGGAATATGTTCCAGACCCCACCACTGTGTAAGTGTGTGCCACGCACCCTACCCCACACCTCACTGGCTGAAGTCAACACAATGGGACCATTATATACTCACACAGAGAATCATTAAACATTGCATGCAAAAAGTATTAAGCTGCAGCAAGAACTATCACAGAATTAGTTACTTCTATTACCTAACTCGGTATTCACAAATATAAAACACCACAGCTGGTAAGCTCTGAGTCAGTTATTGGTCTGATCAATAAAGAAAACAAAATATGCAAAACAACTCCAAATATCCTAAATGAGAGACCAGAAGTCTAAAGACCCAGCACTGGTTCCTAGACATACCTTAATCTCCTGGATTTGGTTGTCCAACCCCCCAATGTCGGCATAGGTCTCCTGCGGGGCCTTTTCCACCTTCATCACCGTGACCAAGGGGTCTGTGTCATCCATCAGCACCCCTATCACAGCATGCACCTAACAGGGAACATTATGCTTCAACACAGGATGTGAGGCTCACACATTCATTACAACCAAGCAACGCTGGTCACAGAATTTGACTGTGGAAGATGTACTTACATGGGACGGGTGGGCAGATCTACAAGAAAGGAGAAAGCTTTCTCTGAGACTCAACTCACCTTGTGGTTGAGCAGGACGGAGCAGCCTGGTTCCAGCAGGTCCTTGTCCACAAAGGAAAGAATGCTGACGTAGTGTTCTGAGCCCACAGATGTAGACACGATGGCGTGATTGTCATCAATGATCTCTTCCAAGGTCCCCACTGACATCGGAGTCCCCCTCAGGTCATCTACCTTTGATCTTTCCTCCTATGGAAGAGTATGTCAAGAAGGAAAAGTAGATTAGGCCTAAAAAAGCAGATGAGTTCAGAGTTCACTAGATTTACAAAGCAGTTGGCACATTTATTTATTACTAGGGGCCTGGGGCGGGCCCATCGGTCTGGCCTGCGCCCTCTCGCAATCCAGGACCCCTCAGGGGATGTTGAAGAGCTGGTTTTGGCCTGATCCCTGTAGGCCAGGCCAAGGGACCCTCCTCCCTCCTCTGGGTCTGGGGTGCAGGTGAAGTAGATTCGAGGCTGACAGTGCCCCAGCAGCAACCTAACCCACGACTGATCCACGAGGAATTGGGCTCCCTCCTCTACGGGTCGGAGCGTCTGCCCCCTGGTGGTCATTGTGCATCATACCTACCATGTGAACAGTCAGACGGTTGCTTAGGCTTTTATATATATAGATTACTTTTTGTTACTCCTCACTGGAGGATATTTTTCCCATTGATTTGGGGGGGGCAGGGGTGGAGAAGCATGAACATGAGAGAGACACATCGACTGGATGCCTCCTGCATGTGCCCTGACCAGGGCCAGGAATGGAGCTTGAGCCTGCAACAGTTAAGGTACAGGCCCTTAATTGCGAGCCAACAGTCTAACCACTGAACCACACAGGCCAGGGCACAGTTGGTGCTTTTAAAAGGCAGCTAATAATGAATCATCATAAAAGCCTGAAAGATTCAACTACTTGAATTTCATTTATCCACAGACAGTTTTAAGGTTTAAATAGAATTTAATTTGTAAAAATGAAAGCTACAATAATTTCTCAATTTACCTCTTGCTTTTCTTCTAAAGGCTTCATTTGTTCCTGATTTCTAATGAATTCTTCCTCCATGAGAAGATAGTCTTTAATTCTTTCTAACTTCAATAATTTTAACCGGCACTGAGTGTGAGGTGTCACTGTAATTAAAAAAATAAAGTTTTATTATACTTGAAGCTTGAAGTTAGCAATTGTTTACTCTTTTTTTAAATTGACACTATGTCCTCATTCCCCCCGTTTGCCCACCTCCACCCAGCCTTCCCCCCTCACTTTATTCTTGAGAGAGATTGAAAAAAGGCTTAAAATAAGTTCACTTTAGTTGGACAGACTCTGAAAGTTAAAAGTTTGGTGACCCTAATTAAGCAGGTGCCTAAATGCAAAGGGGACAGGGATTTTGCAGTTATAGGCAAGCCTGTAAACATGGGATGAGGACTGTGACCAATCAGCTAATATATAATGAAATCACTAACCGAACTGTGTGTGTATATTAAAAAGTCATAGATGCAGAAGGTAAGTTTGCTTTGGCTTATTATTCCCCACAGTGCTAATGGGTACACATAATGTGCAGTCCGTCCACCCCGTTGCACACTAATGTAATTCATCTCCCTTTGTAGGACTGTAAAATACTAGTGATATTAACATGCACTAAACATTTTTTCCCCACACTCTTTTGTACTGTTTCTCTTGGCTTCGCTTCTTAATATTTATATAGATAAACCTTTTCTTTTGTGGTGTTGGGTTTCCTGACTTCTTCAAAAGGTCTCTCCTCCCCTAAGGTTAATGAATTATTCCTGGAGTTATCATTTATTTACTTATTTTCATATGTATATCTATAATCCATCTGGCAAAAAGCAAGGGGTCTATTTTCTTTCAATAGCAAATAAATAACCCAGCATCTTTCCACAGAACTAAAATGTCACCTTCGCCGTATATTAATTATCCATGTAACCTGACTTCCTATGCTCTTCTGATGACCTGATGATCTATTCTTTTTTTTTAAAAATATATTTCTTTATTGATTTAAGAGAGGAAGGGAGAGGGAGGAAGAGATAGAAACATCAACGATGAGAGAGTCATTGATTGGCTGCTTTCTGCACTGCCCCCACTGGGGACCAAGCCCGCAGCCCGGGCATGTGCCCTTGGCCGGAATCGAACCCGGGACCTTTCAGTCCCCAGGCCGATGCTCTATCCACTGCGCCAAACTGGCTAGAGCAAATTCCTTGACTTTAAAATAGGGTTCACATACTTACCCTGCTAACTCAGTTGATTTGATTATCAAAGAAAAATCAAGCAAATGACACAAATTGCAAAACATGGAAAAACAAACTTCCCACTCATCTTTCCTTCTTTCTCAGACCAGGATGGAAATTCTCACCCCAGCTCTAAAATCCTCACAATACCTTCGCCCGGGGAGAAAGTGTGGCAGAGCTGTAGAGACAGGCCGCAAGACAAACGAAAAACAACCCGTCTGGATTTCCTCTGCTTTACTGTGGCACCATCTGTCCCCACACTAGCACGAAGCAGCAAAGAATGGGAAAGATTCAGGTGCTCTGATGATCTATTCTTTATCAATGCCATATTGATTCATTACAGTAGACTGATGGCACATTTTTTACTGTCTGACTCATTTCTTAACCAGGCAATATTTTAAAAATTATTTCACCTAAGCAGGAAGGGACTGGTTTAGATAGGGGCAGGGGAGGTATTTGAGCTCAGGCCTAACGGGGTGAGAGGCAGGCAGCCATAGGAAGGACTGGGGAAGAACATTTTGAAGCAGCGGGCAAGGCCCTGGCGTGCAGAAGAGTCAAAGAGCACAAGGCTACGAGAATCACCAGCAAAGGGAGTGATGGGGCTAAGGATGGACACGTGGGCCGGGCCACCTGGTCTGAGTTTTATTCTATGTTGTATAGGAAGCCATTGAAAACCTTTATGTTCAGGCACCATAGGATGTGAATTCTAACACAGTGGCATTCCTTTGCTTCATACAGTAAATGTGTTTCTAAGTTACTCAAGCTCAGCCTGAGTTTTCTACTGTAAAACTACTTTTAGTAGATTAGAGGAACTGGTTCAAGATTCCTAAAGTGAGATAGTCATGTAACTGTTAAACCCAAAGTACAGCTTGTATTCCAACCTAGAGGCATGCCGCACACAGGAGTCAGACAGAATACAGTCCCGGGGCTGGAGCTCCAACCGCGCCCATCTCCCGTCTAAGCTACACACACAGTCCATTCCCCTAGGAAGCGGAAAGACAGCAGGGAAGAACCATGTCATTACCCAGTGGCAGTTTGCTGGCAGCATCTGGTCCCTTGGTTTTCTTCTTCTTTTTCCCCACTCTGGTTGGCACGGGAGGTTCATATTTCTTCTTCTTGTCCTAGAGTTTTCAGAACAGCAGGGGGAAAAGAATCACACAAATCATATGAAAACACAAACTTATTTCTGTAGGATCATTGTCTATTTCCAGGTGACATGATTTTCCTTATCTTTTAGGATACTATTACAAACTGTTCTTTAAAAAAACACACTAGGTTTTATATTTCTGCAATTTTAATATGTGAATGTAATTGGTCTTTCTTTTTATAACATACAATGATAGATTATTCAATAAGGAATAGAGAGGTTAGAATTCAGTTATATTCCAAAAGTTTGAGTTGATATAACTTGAGACAATTCTTCACATCTCAGGAAATTAAACACTAAAATTAGAAGCAATTTATTTTAACACTCCTCTAATGTGTAAATTACTTTTACACATTTAAAAGTCATTAATTCATAAACACATATGTGACAGGTCAATAACCTTTTCGAAAACATGTAAAGGGCACTGTATCTGTAGGCCAGGCTGGGTTAAATAACTATAAGATTATTTATCTTACATTTTAAGATCCATGAATCCCCAAATTATGCACTGAGATCCATGACATTTCCCACAAGTTGTTCACAACACGAACATATCTGGCTTCATATTTACCTTGTCATCCTTCTTGCCACCTCCAGGACCATGACCACCACTCTGACTCTGACCCTGGGGGTGAGGGGGGAAGAGGTATACATTCAGAATATGATCACTTCAAAAGAACACCCTTCTCCTTTTCCTGAAGCTCTAAGACACTGGCAGCACTTCCCCCTCATTTTAACATCTCTGAACTGGAGATGCACTTGCAGTCAATGAGCACATCGGGCATGGCACCATTTATTTTTCCGAAAAGCGGTTAGTAGCACAACGGTACACCTTGTCACTGCATAAATCAAGGACAACTCCATCAACAAACAGACATCATTAATGTATCATAACGAGGCCAACATTCCAGACACACACCCTTCTTGGGAAGGTAGAGAGTTTGGTACAGATTCTTTAATATAAAACTACCACCAAGAGTATATTTTGTGAAATTAGGCCATGAAAACTAAATCATTTTCCCTTTCAACAATGATTTATTAATAATTTACTCCTCACTAAGATAACACCAGACCCAGGAGACTTCCTTTCAACAGCAGCGTACACACCTACCATCCCTAAAGCCTGGGCACTCGCGCTGCCTTTTCCCCCAAACCTGAAAGGCTGAAGCACCTTAAGGCTTCAAGAACTTAAGTGTATTAATAATAAGCTTCAGCGGGATTTCTGATTTTAAAAGACCCTTCAGTTACAGGACAATGCATACACAGAGCAATGTCTCAGAAAAGACTGCATTTTAAACAAGTCATAGTGAACCTGACTGGGGGGCCCCCTCTCGGTCCCCTCAAATCACTTCTTCATCGGAACCTCTAAATACACTGCCAGCTTCACCATCAAACAAAACTACCGTATCACGGTTACCCAAAGGCGCTAGGGCCAAATATATATCCCATGTGCAGCCTTTTTAAAACGCTGTGCTTTATTCCGAAGACGGTAACCAAGGGCTCTGAGAAACGTTGGGAAACAGTTATAGTGCAACAGGCTGCCCAAGTGCTGGGTCTTTACAATCACTTATAATAAGGAAATCTGCTGGGGGCTGGGCAGCTCGTGTGTGTGGGGTGCTTACTGTGTGCCGTCTGTACAGACCTTTTCCTTCACTATCTCGTCAATTCCACACAGTCCTTCAAGGCGGGCTCACTATTCCCACTTTCTAGACAGGAACTAAACAAGCCTAAGAACATGGCATTAGATGCATCCAGGCTTGAGTTCCGACTCCATCACTAATAGGCCAGTGACCTCAGGTACGTCAGGGCACCTACCAGAGCCTTGGGGTCCTTCACGGGAAAGCCCGGAGGATCCTAGCTCCTAGCTGTTGCTGACAATGAAGTAGCATAATGATCTATAATGATCCACTTAGTATTCACGTGATGCAGTAACTACTCACCAACACAGTATCAGTGAGTCAGAAACGCCAGGGTCAGCATTTTAACTGCTGGTCTGGTCACAGATCTGACACTGGACTCCATCTGCTCACTCTCTTGCCCACTCCTTATCTCCGCTTCTGTCCAGGCCGTTGTGTCTTATTTGGACTCAGCCTCTCCCCTGAGATTCCCGCCTCCAGTTTCCCCCTCACCTATCCAGCTACCACCTTCGAAAACAAGCAGCCGATCCTTTAATTCTCCTTAAAGGCCTGCAGCTGCTCCCCAGCATTTGCGGTGTAACACCCAACCCTTCGGCTTAGCATGCCGGGCCCTCCACAAACGCTGCAGGTTCCTCTGCTGTTCAGACAACCTTCCCAGGTTCATCGACTTCCTCGTGATCCAGCCGGTCCTGCCCCCTCGAGGACGCTTTCCTAAACAGACCCCACACTTCTCTGTGTCTCAGTCTCCGTTAACAGACACACCACATGCCACGCCGGGCGCTAACGGCCTCAGGGCCTCACCTCATTCTTACAGACACCTCGAGCTTGGTACCATCATTACCTCGAATTTACACACAAAACAAAACCACCGAGGCCCAGAGAAGTAAGGCATGTTGTAAGGAACCACACTCAGGTCCCCTGGAGGCCAGTCTGTGTGTGTCTCCATCACATGGACAACGAGTCCATCGCAGAAGGGGCCCAAGAAAAGCCCGGCAGGGTTTGCCTCCAGCACAGCCACTTCCGGTGTCCGTCTCCTCCTTGGTACCGTGAGGATGAGAACTGCCTCACTTGTGAGGAATATGAGGAAATGCTGGGCAAGCGCCTGGCACAGGCTTCAACAGCACCCCAAGTCCCAGATGACCCCCACGGCTCGGGGCCGCCTGCCTGCTGTCGGCGACGCGGGCTGCACGGTCCGCCGCAGGCCCTTTGCTCCGGGACACGCGTTTCCCCGTGGCACAGCTCCCCTCCCGCTGGATTGAGCTCCACGCTCGCACCTCGCCTCCCGGGGGGGGCCGACCCCCCGAGGGGCCCTATGAAACCGCCGTCTGCCAGGCCGCCCCAGGAACCCTCTCCACCCGGTCTGGGGAGAAACTGGGGGATTTCTTTCTCTGTGTTCCCTGCCTCCCCCTAGAAGTTAAGCCCCGCGAAAGGTAGAGAAGGGACATTCAGGCTTAAACACCTGTACCCCCGGTGGTCTAAGAAAAA